TCAAAAAAATCCCACTGTTTGGACGTAGGAGTGGAGTACCTGGGGTTTCTCTCTACGGTGGGAGAAGTGATTGCACTTCATCGGGCAGCTATCAACCGCCTAAGCTGGGCTGTCCCCGGCCCAAAGGATGCTGTTGCGTCCACGTTCCGCTTGCTCCATTGGGTGCATGGGGCTAAGGACTGAATTCGAAAAGCGGATCGATAACGAAGACAAGACAAAACGCATTCAGTAATCAGGTCTCACGTGACAGATCAGAAGAAGTTCCCTCACGGGTGCTTCGGTCATGTTTCCGTGCTTGGTTAACGCTCCACTGCCTTGTGGATCAGACTTTTGAGTTAAAGGCTCCGGTTAGGGTTCCCAAAGAAAAACCCCTTCTGCGGCGTGGGCGGCCGCGAATTATGATGTGCCCAGAAATCTTCAATGGTCAATCGGGGAAAACTCCTAATCTCTCTGCTCTTCATCCTTTACGTCCCAATTGTAAATGCGTACGAGTAGCCACAATGAGCCGTGACTGTGAACTTGTAGCTCTCGGAAAGGGCAGCAATTTAGAGACGGGAGAAGGAAGAGAATCGATTCTCCGATCTAAAAATTTTTTTCACTTTGCTGCTTTCAGCGTTCGCACACTTTGCCAAACGGGGCAACAGGCTGCCCTAGCTAGGACTCTTGAAAACTTTAACATAGACGTGTGTTGTGCCTTCGAAACACGCATACAAGACCCGACTTCAGTGTTAGTATATCGCTCCCTTGATACAAACTCGGCTTCTCGTTCCACTCTTCGGGTGTCGGGTGATTCGGTATCTAGTGCTCGAGGTGAGGCTGAGCTTGCATTGCTCGACTGGATCCCAGTCAGCAGCCATTTGTGTGCAGTTCGGTTGAATGGTACTGTGCATGTCAACAGCACTAGACTGAAGCGTCGATGCCTGTTTGTCGTTTCTTTGTATGTCCAACTGACTGTAGCTCTCCTGAGGCTAAAGACGAAATCTACCAGGATTTGTCTCATCTGCTCCGCAGCATACGCTCTACGGACCTCATGGTTGTTGCCGGCGATTTCAGTGTTCAAGTCAGAAACCTAGACGGGACGGAGAGGAATATGGGAGGGCGATATTGCGTTTCAGCCGATCGAACTGATAACGATGATGGACTCATTCAACTATGTTCCGATTACAGACTATTCGTAGTGAGTACAAATTTCTCGCACGAAAGGCGGCATCGGCCAACCTGGCGTCCTCCTGCACCTTCACAGCGTTGGACTCAGATCTACCATATTGCTGTCGGTTACCGCTGGCGCGGATCATTCGGGTTCACGTCTGTAGACACTGACCACGCTGTTGTCCGCGCGCTTCAGCTTGCGCCTCGTCGATAGCCGAAACAACGCCAAAGCGGACTGTCCCCCGCAGCCGCTACCTGACGACAACCAACGGTCTGCTTTCCGAACAGTTATCCACCAGGTTACCAATGCAGCCAAATGTCTAAGATCCAGAATAGCGGTGGACAGAAATCAAACAGGCTATACGTGCGGCTGCTGATACTACCCAAGGTCCAACAACTACACTTTTTTCCATCAAACTTTAGCCATGACCTACTATCTTTAGCCACGACCCATCATTCTTTAGCCTTGACGCGCAACCTCTAGCCATGCCGCTGCAAGCCAGTCAGGTCAAAAGTATCGGAATATAATGACATCAAGAGGTATCGGAACAATTTTTTTTATATACAAAGATTGGTGTTGCAATGCTAGCGAAACAAATGTGAAAGTGTGACGATCATATGCTGCGCAGTTAACCGTGGTAATGCTGCACCGAAAATCGATTGGAGAAGGTCTAAACGACGTGCCTGTATCGCCGAACAATGTGGCACAGCCCTTATTACTGTTGTATTTTCAGTGAACCAGTTCTTACCGTACTAAAAAATACAAACAAATTTAAGTGGCAAACATTTTACGTGTTTGAGTTCACTGAAGGCCTCCTCAAGCGGATTGAAAAATAGACTATGCGGTGGGAGGAAACATACTTGATGATTGGTGTGTAATTGTGCGTCCACCACCCTCCGATGAATGGGCGCATTGTCAAAGATAAATGCTACTGGAACATCAGGTTGCTCAGTAACAACAGACGCTGAGCAGCATAAGGGAAACTCAATAAAATATGCCATGTAATCCTTGTATGACATTCATACTTCAAGGTACCGGCGATAGATGAACAAGCTAATATGTTCGAGTTAGGTCCTTCACTTGACTGTAGAATTCGGATAGCCCCCTTTCATCGGAGGGTGGTGGACGCACAATTACACACCAATCATCAAGTATGTTTCCTCCCACCGCATAGTCTATTTTTCAATCCGCTTGAGGAGGCCTTCAGTGAATTCAAACACGTAAAAGTTTGCCACTTAAATTTGTTTGTATTTTTTAGTACGGTAAGAACTGGTTCACTGAAAATACAACAGTAATAAGGGCTGTGCCACATTGTTCGGCGATACAGGCACGTCGTTTAGACCTTCTCCAATCGATTTTCGGTGCAGCATTACCACGGTTAACTGCGCAGCATATGATCGTCACACTTTCACATTTGTTTCGCTAGCATTGCAACACCAATCTTTGTATATAAAAAAAATTGTTCCGATACCTCTTGATGTCATTATATTCCGATACTTTTGACCTGACTGGCTTGCAGCGGCATGGCTAGAGGTTGCGCGTCAAGGCTAAAGAATGATGGGTCGTGGCTAAACGGTTGTGGGTCGTGGTTGAATAATGGTCGGTCGTGGCTAAAGATCAGTGGGTCGTGGCTAAGCAAAGGCGGGTTTTGGCTAAAGCACTGTTAGATGTGCGCAGAACGATTCCTCCGAATTCCAGACACGATGAGACACGGAAATGCCTTAAATACCAACTGATCCGGAGCCTGAGAAATGACCGTTGATTGCGAAGTGTAAGGAGATGGAAAAGGCTGCCGCGATTGGCAACAGCCACAACCTTTTCCGTCCCATTAGACCGGCACACGCAAACCAGGCGTTGGCGAATTGATCCAAGAAGCGAACGGCTCACTGGTTCAACCTCAGGAGCGTCGGGTTACTTGCTGGACGGAGCATTTCGAGAAGCAGTTTAATTGGCCTTTATCCTCGTCTGGTTTGATCACTAGCGCCATGGGTACAGCTCTTGTTGTAGATACTAGTCCTCTGTCAGAAACGGAGGCTCTTCGTGAGATCGGCTGTCCTAAACGACATAAGGCTGCCGGACGGAGTGGGTTGCCTCGTCTGTTCTCAAAGACGTTGGCCCAGCACTTTTTCTAAAGTTGACAAAACGGCTCGGTTTGATGTGGGAGAAGGAACGAGTTCCAAATAGTTGGTGTGAATCGGTGATCGTACCGATTTATAAAAAAAGGCGACAGGTCCTCCTGTGAAAGCCACAGGGGAGTAAGTCTGCTGAGCATCGCATCCAAAATGCTCGCTGGTGTTATTCTCCACCGCTTATCTGACGCTCGCGAACAGTGCTCGCGCGAGAATCAAGTTGGGTTTGGACCTGGTGGAGGTTGTTTTGATCACATCTTCACTCTTCGACAAATTTTAGAACGTAGACAAATCTTTCGTAGGCCCAATATCTCCGTTTTTCTTGACCTTAAAGCGGCCATCGATTCAGTCGACCGCACATTTTTCTAGCGCTGCCTCTTGCTGAGGGGATTATCAGATAAATTTATTTCCATCGCAAAATCCCTTTACATTGACCGCCGAAGCCGAGTTCGGGCTTACGGTGATTTTTCACCCGAGTTCACCACGAGAAGTGATGTACGCCAGGGTTTCCCCTTCTCTCCTTTTCTCTTTAACTCTGTGATTGAAATGGTCCTAGAGACCGCACGTTTGTCAGGTAAGGATAGTGACATTGAAATTTTCCCGAATGGAAGGGAATCAGACCTCGAGTATGCCGATGACATAATTCTTCCAAGTAAAGATCCAGGTAAGTTGCAAGCTTTTCTAGGCAACTTGACGGATTGCGTAGCAGTGTTCGGTATGCGTATTGCACCTTCAAGGTGCAAGATACTGTTGCAAGACTGGGTTGGTCTATAATGTAGGTAATTTAACAGCGGTAGGATTGAGTAGTACGCCTGCTTTTACTGTCTGTTGAGTCCCCAAAGCATGTCTACAGGTAGACCGCTCGACAGATGGAACGTTGTAGGTGGAAAGTTGCCTAAATCTTCAAATTCTGAACGGACAGTGCTCCTTGAGCATGTGATTCCAGCGTCGGTGGGATTTGCGAACGACATCCATATCAGAATCCCACGGTCATGAGAACAAAGGTGCCATTAACTCCTCATCTAAGTAGAATCCTGTTTAGGTCGTGCTGTAATCCATTTCACTGACCAACTATGCGAGTTGCACTTGTTTATTTCACCACTCGAGATGTATAATCGAACAGGAAGTTAGCCTACTCTAAACGGAGCAACAGAAAAGCACCTCGTAACAGTTCATTCTATTTCTGCGATACTAATGTTGATCATTCGGTCACCAAAGATAATTCACTTGTCTGATGGAATAGTTGTAAGTTGTGGCGTACTAGACCTTAAGTTGCGAGTTCCTCTGACAGTCTCGCTACATCCTGGAATTTTATGTATCGATGTTCTGCCTAGCTGCCTTCCATTATTCTATATAAAAGCCTTAAGCCTCACGCGTCAAATTTGGATGAAACGAGAAAATCCAGTTACGAAGTACTGCGTTTATTATATAGCGTGAGTCTTGCAGAATATCCGAATTCCACCTTTGAGTATAAATTGAGTTATTATTTGAGCCCACCGCTGTACTCAGTGCATTCCGTTTTCCATTTATTTTGTCAATGAATATCGGTTCAACGTTGCCGGTCAATAAATAGTACTATCGCATGGCCAGAAATGGATTTCTCAGGATGTCCTCAGTACTTTCTCGATTTACAAGACCATTATTTTGGTCCATTGTTTGCGATTATCAGTGCGCGCATGACCCCCACTTCACTTTTTCGTTGTCTTGCTACATTCTTTCAGACAATGCAGCGAATGAAGCCACAAGTAAGCCTTTCGCCCAGCTATCTGGATCTCACCGAGTGTCCCTACATGTGGCCGTATTGTTCCCAGCCGATGTATCACGGAATGCAAGCAATCGTGATTAATGTGAGTGAGTTTATTTTATTGCCACTTTTGAATTCTTCGCCGCTTGCGCTTCAAACGTCAGTTTATCATGTTGTTACCGTTTCTTTGGAGGTTTTTCCATTGAGTGATGGTGTATTTGTGAGTTACAGAGTAAACTGGTCGTGTATTGCATTGTAAAGCAGGTATCATTTGAGTCATTTTCTACGTGTGCATTAGAAACCGAGGCAGTGAAACTGATAGGTAGAAAATAACTCGTTTTCTAAAGTACTGATGGCCTTACGGCGGAAACCCTTGACAAGTCATGATTGATTGACAATAACCAGCTGTGTGTATTTGAAGTCCTGGGTTCTCTCTGTCCAACTTAAAAGAACAAAAAGAATACACAGACTATGAGACGCAATCGTCTCGTTTACTGATGTCGACTGCGAACGTAAAACATGTCATTGTACCTACGACACAGCAAGGGGAAAATATGTTTACGTTCCTAACATTTGATGGCATATTTCGTTATAAATTGTTGTATGATAAATAAAAAGGGAAGTAAAATAGTATTGCATAGTGTTGAGGGGTTCTGTGCGACAGTTTTCCCAGTACGAGTAAATAGTCAGGATCCACGTTGAAAGAATGATTTCACAATTGCAAAACGGATAACTAGCCATGGAAAGGATTTACACAAGAAATGTATTTCAAATTTTCATGCTTGTTCCTTGTTTGTTGAAATTCAAAAGGTGCAACTCCACGTACAATGGTCTGTGCAGCGATGTGTTTACACTACTTAAAAATACTCCAATGCATATTGTCAGTGTTATTCAAAGATACTCCTAGACACCCGTCATCCCTTTCCTAAATACCCTTCAGAAGCTATATTTGCATCGTCCACGGGTGTGATTTCGAACTTCAAATGTCACGCTCTTCTGCTTACCCTAAGTATATCGTAACGTTTTATCAGGTCTGTCTGTTGATCCCTTGATGGTCACCGCTGAGTTAAAATAAATACACATTTCTTTGGATAGATTTCACTAATAATCCCGTACTTTCTTTGAATAATTTTTTACTGATGGTAATTTATTATATCCAAAGAAGTATTGTAGAAGGTGAAAATATTCTAAGTCCCGTCCGTAAAGCCACTGCATTGTGATCACTTCGTAAAACGTTTGTTTGTATATAACGTAATTTTGATCAACTTGTTTTGATTTTGTGGTTTAAGTTAGTCCACATTCTCGTCTGTTTATTTCTTTTGGCACGTTGCCTGTGACACTTAGTTTATATCGACCGATTACCGAGTGAGAGATAAATCTGTTTTACTAAAGCGAAGCTTCAAAACGGTGACTAGTTAGACTAAATTGGGTCATTTTGGCCCTATACATGATTTTCGATGCAAAATTAGGAACAAACATACCCAAGAACGTAAATGCATAACCTCTGGATCGGTAGTGATGAGACAGCTTGATATCAGCTTGTGAACAAATCTGCTTTATGGCATCAACAACGGCTGCAACCCATCCATGTAATCTGGTTGATCAAATCTTTTTATTTTCATTATACACAATCGTGAACCGTTGCGGAATTTGAGTTTGAAATGGTTGGTACTCTGCGTACCACTTTGTCAGTCCCACCATGGATAGTTTTTATTTGCAATGTTGCGGAATAAGTAACTCATTCAGCTCGGCCAGTTGGTTTTTCCAGTTAGGCGACGGTTATCAAACTGTCGTCCTTGCAAATTATTGGTTCTGATCCCAAACTCGAACTCCGTCCCACAAGTGGTTATTCCGTAGTGGATTGCATCTCTTTCTGCATATTTCACAATTCATCCTGCTGATTGGCAAAATAGAAAAGAGATTTGTTGCATCAAGACTCTCCTACTTGTAATCAAGCGTTTACCTTAGATCATGATACATGATACCCACGTGCTCCACTGATGAACTACACCTTTTTTAATCTGAGTGGTTCATCACAGCAGTTTTTCCCCCCTTCCGTTTTCCTACTCGTTTTCTGAAATTTTCCGAGTATTTTGCCGGATCTGTCTTTTCTTTTACTCAGAAGCTCGAATCACAAGTCAACATGAAATATCAACCAAATAGTAAGGGAATTAATTCGCGATTTTTCTACAGTGGTAGATCAAACAGAAGGGAAGTTCGACCTCAAATGGAGGCTTTGTGTGGTAGGTAATCGAAAATTGACCGTTGCTTCTGGCAACCCAAACTAGCGTAACAGTTGGTGAGAGAATAGAGAAAACTATTGAGGAGCACCGGATGAACGTGGCCGTGATTTGGGTCAACATAAATCATAATGCATTATACATCGAGGTTAATCAATTTCACCGTTGTTGCGTTTTGTTCGTTTTATGGGCGATCGTACAAAGAGGATTCTCAGTAATTGGAAAGTAGGTCAGTTCTTCCGTCCATATGATGGTTTTTCTTTCGATTGTCTAGTTTTGTTCTTGTGCACATTGGGGATTTCCAACTGATCAATAAGTAGCATCAGATAAATCTGTGATGAATTAGGCATACACACTGGGCCGTGAAAGATGAATCCTCGCTCGCGTCGAAACGACCTTCCTGTAGTTTCATTCTTGTTGAAAATCAGCAGTCACGCGTCATCGTATGGTGAGCCAGTATTACCCAACAACGCTTGTTATTTGGTAAGTCCCAACCAATTTTGGTATGCACCTTGTCAAACGGCTGGCAGCACACCCAATATGCTATAGAAGTTACGAGTACCACATCTGGTGGAATAGTCACAGGGCATGCAGCCATCTCACCGGGCTCTCTGGATTACTAGACAGCCACAGGAATATTCCTACCGCGAGCGAAAACCACAGTGCCCGCGCTTCCGTGCGAAAAAGTTGGTTAAAAGCTTGCACAGAGACCGAGATAATTGATGGTTCTAAAGCACGGCCGAAATGGAACAAGCTGCTGCCACCGGCATTACCCGAAGACTTTTTCCAACCCAACCAATCCACAGGGACCAAGGAATCTGGATTGAGCGAGATGATCTGTGAGGTAAACGGTCAGCCAGTACAGCTTTCAGGGCGCATGAATTGATGGCCTGAGCACTTTGAGGAGCAGTTTAATTGGACTTCAGTGGGTGCGTTTTCACACAGTAGTTTCTTTGAACCAGTTTATGCTCCATGGACGGTCTATAGTGTTCCATCCACCGAAGAAGTCGATCGTGTGCTCCATTTCCTGAGGCGTAATTAAGCCCTCGGCCTTGACGAACTCCCTCCGGCTCTCTTCAAAGATGGCGGTATGCTCCTCCCCAAAATGCTCGCCAGCCTACCGAAATTTGGCTCGACGAATGCGTCCCACAAATTTTGAACTGTGCATCCATCATCCCTACATACAAGAAAAGGGGCTAAAACATCTGTGTCAGTAGTCGACGGATAAGTTTGGTTTCAATCAAGTCGGAGCTGTCAGCCTCAATAGACCTCCATAGATCGTCCTCATTGCGCGGAGAACAGTCCCGTAAAGAGCAGTCTGGTCCATTACCTCGTGGTTTTTAAGGAGTTGTTCTGCTAACCGAGATGCTTTTATTTTGAGAAACTGTCACAGACCCTGCGACACAGAAGTCGAACCTCAATCGGTGTGGGTGTAAAGTGGCATCCCAAAGATTGCGAAAACTGACAGAAGCAGTCGATTGCGGTAGCAGAGGTCATATTTATTCTCTCAAACATGTGTGGGGTTGACAAGCCTTCCTAACGGTTGATGAAATCTAGGTTTTACTTCGGTGCATACGTTGCTTCATACATTGGTCATACTTCCTCTACAGAAAAAGGTAAATTCCAAGGACGAATAAAATCAATCATTGTGGTACCTCTGGGATGGCACAAGAACTCATGAAGTTGTAGGAGATTCAACGTACTGGAAGACGTTGTGCAGCAGATGCGGGATAAGGCGTCGGCAACTATGCTATCTTTTCCTCATCGATATATTACGTCAAAACTGTAACAAGACCGTTCGATACTCCGCCGTTGAATTTTGTCGTTCTTTATTCTGATTTTGTGATCAAGTTCAAACATAAATGCAACAAATTCCTGATCAGTGATGATCCTAAAACGGGTACTGATTAGCTGGTGGCGTCACTTTTGAGCTGCTTCAGTGATAGCATATCCCTCCCTTTCGACTGCTGAATGACACTGTTCGCTTCCAGTAAGTGTTTTCGTGAAAGAAGGCTACTGGTCGTCCAATTTAAGTAAGCGCCGGAGTGATAGCAACATCGGAGGCGTCGGCTTCCAGGATTTGGGGAACAGTATCACCGACGGAGACCTCAACAGACTGCTAGATTTCGTTTTTGGTATTTTCGAACGACCCACGAACCTCGGGCGGGAAAGAAGAATAACGGTTACGAATGAATGGGTGGATCTTATCGGAGAAATGGGAGATCCACGACGAGTAATAGGTATACAGCCCCACAATTCGTTGCGAGACTTCAAAGTTGCGGGCAAGGGCAGGTTCCTCAGTGGTTGGAGTCGTTCGGCTTCGGGTCATATAGTCTTGTGGAAGACCTTGAACCCAAGCAGTCTTTAATGTTCGTAAGTGAACTGCGCTCTTGGACTCGTTGAACTTCAAACGGTACCTTCGGGCGACCTCACAGAGTTTTTTAGAGTTTGCATCGTACTCTTCCGTGATTTTGCACACAGTTATGTTGTCGACATAGGCGAAGGTTGCATTCAGGTTTTCATCGTGTATTATGTTATAAATTATTCTGTGAAAATAAGCAACTCCATTAGTTACCGCAAACGGCAATCGGTAGAATTGGTATAGGTTACCATAGGCTTCGAAGGCTGTGAATTTCCGGCCGGTTCCTGTGATGGGCGCTCTCCAGATTTAAAATGCCGTACAAAGTGTGGTGTGAGATCCTATCAGTGATGTCGTCTCTCCTAGGAAGAGGGTCAGCATCCAGGTGGATGCACTGATTTATGGTCTGACTGTAGTCTACGATCATGCGACGTTTGTGGTTTTCGTTTTTAGTCACTAGTACTTGGGCTCACCAGGGTGAACCACACGGTTCGATTATACCATCCAGTGAAAATCTTTAAGCTTCCGATTGAATAAATTTATTATCTCTTTCTGAGTGTCGTCTTGATCTCGTAGCCATTGGCTTAAAGTTCTCTGCGTCAATGCCAAGCGGCGATGGTGGCTTAGCATCGGCAGCTGGAAACCCATATGTAGAAAATGGGTTCTCGACAGATTGGTGCAGGTTTAGGAAACCATATCCTAGAAGCACGTCGGAACAAATGTTCGGGTCAACCGGAAGCCTGATGTGAGAGTTGTGATGATCTTTTTAAGTGTTCATCTGTGAAGCCCGCCTAATGTGTCGTAGCCGTTGAGATTCTGCAGCGTGATCTTGTGATATACCAGTTATGCCATTTGACGACCGATGGCAAGATCTAACTCTCAGAGTTCCCCGTATCCACGAATGCCTTCCATACGATGCCAATAATGAAGACTTCTGTGATCGTCTGTGAAAAACTACTTCGTCCTGCCTTGATGGTCATTGACGACAGGCACAGTGTGGTTCGAGTGGTGACACACTTTCTAGTAATGTCTCTTATTGCCACATCATTTACAAAGAGCCTCTCTTGCGAGACACAGATTGACTGTTTTCTGAACCCGCAAAAGCATTTACTGCTTGGTGTTGGAGCAGAAGCGGACGGAAAGCTGTCAGCGGAGACATTAGCCTTGCGGTTGAACAGTTAGGATCGTTCGGGTCGCAGTATTCGATCCATTGTTTGTTGAATAAGTTATCATAGGATCAAACAAACCAGCAGTATGAAGAAGAAGCGGAATATGGGCCATTCAGAAGGCTTTGTTGTACAAACATTTGACGCATGGGAACTGAAAATAGAATAAACAGAATGGCAGTTCGAGGCAATACAAGAGTGCTGTTCAATAGCACAATTGATAGGTTAGAATTTGTGTAAGATTTTGTGTACTCGTGAAGCTGGGTAGTTACTGGGGGTCGGATTGGAGACGATGGGGATAACCGAACAGCGAAATCTCAATGAGTTTCCTGCAATTTGTGTCTGCTGTTGAGGCGGTGCCATTTCTCCGATTGATAGTCAGGGTGTGCTACGCTGCTGTACGCGGTGTGCTTCTATACGCTTGTGAAATCTGGCTTGTTTTAGCTGCCGATGTCGCCTGGATGTCCGTGTTCCATCATTGATAACTGTGGACTATCTCGGGAGTATGGTAGCAACATCAGACAAACAGTTTCACTGTTCGAACGCGCATCTGCGGAACCAGTAGTGCCGTGTCATCTATTAGTGCTACAATATTACTTCATTGTCTTCGTTGGGAAGAGCATGTGCTGTGTGCCCCCCCCCCCATCCACTTCCCCGTCGTGCTCTATTCGCCGAGTCTGATGTTGGCTTGAAGTGACACATGGAGCCTAAGGCATAGGATGGCACTGGTCCGTAAAAGCGTTGACGTCGACTTGCCTCTGTCTGGGGGCCCCGAGATCTACTACACAGCTGGCTGTAAACATTGTCAGATGTGGCCTAAAGTCGTGCTCAGTGGTGGTCATAGTGTGGGGACTTGTGTTCGAACTCCTGAAAATTGTCGCCTTTCATTCTTCGTTCTTTTCTGTTTCATATTTTTAGATAGAGCTACGCCTCTGTATTTTGCACCGCGTATTTGATATATATATATATATATATATATATATATATATATATATATATATATAGATGTGGCTCACCGAGGACGAATGGATGCCATGTGATGAGGTGTAATGTTGGCACGGAGGGAACCGCTGACAACTCATCCGAATAGATCGGTATGGTGACATGCGGAAATCGATTGTGTGCATGCCGGAATTCGTGCTCTAGTTAAAACTCAATAGTCATTCAGTGCTGAAAATTAATGAAAAGGATTGAAAAATCCGGATACTGTTTTTATACTTTGCAGATTTGCGTTATGCGTTGACTCTAAATTACCAGTCATTCTTTGGTCAAATCAAATCTCCATCGTTTAGTTCATTTCTTTCTCGCCAATAACGGTGGTCGGTCGATTGGAAGTCCTGCGCAATCTTCAGCCGAAATATTTGTGTTAGAGAATCATCACTGACGTCTGTTTATTCATGCCCACTGCTTTGTTTGCACGAAGACTGTGTTGGTGATTATCTATGCTTGGTATCCGCCGTCGTACTTGTTCCACGACAGATCCCATCCTGGAGCTTGCTGCAAGCGACCTTTGTGCAGTATAACTCAGGGTTAAACATCAAAATATTCAGACTAGTTGGATTATTTTATTCTACGAGGCTGTAATTTTGAGAATAAACATCTATAGGTGTTTGGAATTACTACTTCTATTTTTGAAGCATTTTGCCTTCTCATTTTATACTCAGTTTAGATTCAAAAAATGAAAAAAACTAAGTTGCGTTTAATGAAACTAATCCCATGACTCTCAACAGTTCGTGGTAGAATTCTATTCGTATGACTCCCATTCCGTAACCCAACAGGTGACCGTATTGAATTCCATGGATGTGGTGGGCTGGATCAAACAACCGATCATCTACCGTCCTTTCACGCAGCGTAACGGTCATCGTCTTCGCGTGCGATTCACCCATTCCGAGCGTTTATGGCCTTGGGTGGGTTATCTGGCGGTGCATTTAGATGTTGAGTCTAATGCGGATGAGACTGTGCCGTCCAACCGTTTTTCCGGAACTGCTGAAGGGCTGATCACACTGACAGTTGAGTCTTCTGACTCGGTGAGTGTTTTTTCTCGTTTTTTTAAATGTAGCAAGTTGCCACCTATTTCCTTTTTGAGACGAATGGCGCCTGTACTTGTTTGTTGTTTCGTGTGACCTCCAACTATGTCTTCCTACTGAGACTGTGCGCGCAGTGAATTATGCCAAACACTGCCCTTTTTCTGATATCCTTGTTCTTTTTCGAGTAGATCTAGCTATTGTTTTTCACTCAATTTCATCACTTTTTGTATGCGTAATGAACGGTTAGATTTTTTCAAGATTCGTGAACCACAACATACTTCCTTTATTTCAAGCGTAATATCTTTGTGCACTAATATCAGTCGGCAACGTTATATTTAACTGGGCAATGGATGAACAATCCTCGAACACAGTGGATATGTCCATCTTCATATACGGTTTTATTTATTTATTTATTTGGATAGTATGTATTGTGGTGTCGATCACCAGTTCGCGGGGGGACATGTATTCGCTGTTCTTGAGTAGCTACGTACCCCGTTCACGTTTTCGGTGTAAAAATACTGCCTCAGAACTGATTTGGCCCTACACGGAGAACAGTTTGACTGGGAAAGCAGTAGGCCGAGTGGAAATGTTTTACCTGGTCCTTTCAACCTTCAACCTCACCCTCCTGTTCTCTCCTCATCTCCTTATCAAGAACGAAACGAAGATGTGGATACAGAGCAAGAAAATTAGTTTATCTGGTACGCCCTTCTATGAGGAGCAACGACAGAATACTACGTGGTTGACTGAGCCGAACGCCGATTTCAGATCAAGAAAGACAGATGGTGGATCTACGGAAAGTATGACTGTGGTCTGAAGTTTGTCAATTGGTAAAGATGTAATCGATACAATCCCGACCGGGTCTGGCTATCGCGCGTTCATCCTTCACGTTATTCAGCGGACAGTTGTGCCATCGAGTAGTTTGGATGTGACACTTACCAAGCTAATTCCTCTGTGGTTTTCATAAGATGACCTGTCACCTTCCTTGTAAACCGCAAAATCGCCGCTCCACACGATTTCTTGGGAATTCGTTCTCTCTGCCAAATCCACCTCAAAAGTTTGGTTCACTCTGGAATCAAGGCTTCGCCTTCTTGAAATCGGATAGAAACAAACCATCCACGCGGCCGGACACCTCAGCCCGTAGTTGAACAATGTTTGAGTTTGGAGACGGCTCTATAGGCCCACGGGAATCAGAGCTGGGCTTCCCACTGGTTTGATGATAAACGCTTCCAATACACTAAGGAGCGTATATAGACGGCACAGCAAGACACTAGCACGAGCGATTTGGATGCACGAGGAACTCAACGGTTTGTATGGTGTAACTTAGGGCCAGGACGACTGACCTTACCGATTGACTTGAAAGTAGGGGAATCAAATAATTTGACGAGAATAGTGTCGTCAAGAGCAATAAAATAATAACTTCAAGTTCCCAAAGAAGGTATAAGCATGAAATTGCTCTTAAGTTAAACGTTTTTAGGGTCATTTAACAGTCGTTTCAAAATCGGTGCCTCGATATTGAGGTGGAGCGGGGACTCCACTACTTTCTGAAAAGATCTACACTCAAAATCGTGGTTTACGAATCTTCCCGTTAGCCCGATGGACCCTTGTGGTTTCATCCTGTCCCTTTCCGTTATATTTCGACCATGAAATGCAAATAATACATGATGAATCATTGTATAGAAATACAAACCCCAACTACTGATACAAATGAAAAATACGTTCATGAAACATCAACTCAGAACCCGAAATAAAGATGTCGATATCTGAATGCTGACGTGTTCACAGTATTGCTGCTGGGACCACCAAACTTGCAGCTTCGATGTTAGGTTTGATGTACTAAGCGTTTGCTTTCACCGACCTTGACTTTCTGTGGAGTATTTCACTATCGTTTAGTGATGCGTTATCGAAAGCGAGCCACGATACGCGCAACTGATTGGCTAACCCAGAAAAACGGTCCAATTGTTTCCCTGCAAGGTCGTCATCATCTTCGTTGGTTCGTTTTTTGGTTAATCCGTCGCATTATTTTTATCCCTCAGGCATTTAACGATAACTGGTTGGAAGTATTTCTTGCTATCTGTTATCTTGAGCCTCACTCACCTGGAGTTGTTCACAGTTTCATCGGGCACCTCAACCCGCTCTCTTATTTTTCCTCTTCTCAGTCGACTGGCGCTACTCTGAGTCAAAACCTTACTCTGTCGATCCGTGCCAACATTGTGCCGACTCCAGATCGGTCGTGAGTTAACTATTTATGATATTATATCGGTCATCACTGATGAAAACCGGAATAATAAGCAAACCACGCATTACATGTTTTTTGTTTGAATGTTCTGAAGGTTATATATATATACTGCTTGTGTCTCACGGTTTGGAGGTACTCATCTAAGTAGATTTTACCGAATCTGTAGTGTGTTGTTTGAGTCCAAGTTGACTCTCTTCACTTTGTAAATGTCATCATCTCTTCAGTTCCCATCCTCGTAATACTTGCGGCATCAATATGATCGAGATCAATGCAGTAAAATTATCAATAGAAGTAACCGATCGATATCCAAGATTAAATTCCGATTGTATTAACGGGAATAATTCAATAATTTCTCATTGCTTCAACAACGCAATTTCGCCTCGAATTATTATGAAATTTCAGTAGAACAAGAAGAACAATGTGGGCGGAATTGATATTGGCCATCAGTTTCGCGTGCTCTCAATCAGCTGCTAACGCACATTATATATGTTCACATCAGGCTCAAATAATAGACAATTGTACACATACAAACGAACCGAAAGTGTCACTCGCGCTAAAACGTGCGATATGATTAGGACCAAAATAGGGAGACAAATCAGGATGAGGTCACAGGTCACTACCACGGCAACACAAGTTGCGTAACAAATGTCTTCTGGATACACAGATCAGGTTTCGTCCTGTGAGTTATTACTACCTCCATGAACTTTAGGAAGTTCTTATTTCTTGATCTCGTGATGATGCCGAAAGCAATTTTCCGGTCAACAGTGACCTTAATCCAAGAAATGACGTGCCATTTCACTAGATGGTAATTTTCCGCCATGAATACTCAAGTTGTTCGGTATGTGCTCACATTCTAGTATTGAGACGGCGTTCTATCCTTCCCACGTACCTTATACCACAGGTATATTCAGCTGGCGATGGCATAAACGTCCAGTGTATCTGGGTTAGTGCGACTGAAACAAGGACGAGTCTCATGCACTGTCTTTAATTTCGCTGCATAAAAAGTGCTTTCGACTGCGGTAGTGAGTCAGCGGCTAATTCTAGTCAATACATTATCGCCTTTGAAAGATAGGTAGATAAATAAGTCTTTCTTCCTTGCTAATGGACATCTTGCTTTGTGATTTAGAGGGGAGCTGTACTTTCGGATGCCAGTGAATATTCATTGTCAGTCGTTCGTTTTTCTTTTCCGGTCGACACAACTTCGGGACTACACAGTTGTCGTAGTCGGTAAAATAGTATTCGTATTACAATCCGTTTGTAACCCATGAGACAGAAGCTTAGAAAGTGTGAGTATTGTCCTGTCCAAATAGGATTGTGATACTTGGAAATTTGCAATTTACTCCATGGTAACCGTAATTTGGCATTGGTTCCACATTCTACCAAAAATTTGATATCGAAGTGCAATGAATTCAACTTCTCTTGCAGTATGTCGGCGTCAAGAAATGCGAACTTGCTAGAGTTCATGGAGGTAGTAATAATTCACAGGACGAAACCTGATCTGTGTATCCAGAAGACATTTGTTACGCAACTTGTGTTGCCGTGGTAGTGACCTGTGACCTCATCCTGATTTGTCTCCCTATTTTGGTCCTAATCATATCGCACGTTTTAGCGCGAGTGACACTTTCGGTTCGTTTGTATGTGTACAATTGTCTATTATTTGAGCCTGATGTGAACATATATAATGTGCGTTAGCAGCTGATTGAGAGCACGCGAAACTGATGGCCAATATCAATTCCGCCCACATTGTTCTTCTTGCTCTACTGAAATGACTCGCGGGAAAAAGGTCTCTGGCATACTATGGATTTGCTTGCAATCGTAAAGGAACTCTACTAAAATGTACAGTAGCTAACATAATTTTTATTCTAATGGGACGAAGTTACTGTTGAAGGCCTAATATATTTGCTTCTCAGTATTATTTGTCTGTGACTACATCACTGATGGTCAGTCTGGTTAGTCCTAATAAGATATTCTCCACTCGAGTCGTGTATCTGATACTTTGCGAACGGATATGATAATTTTTTATGTCGAAGGGAATAACTTGGCGTCGCAGTTCAGTTAAGTCCACACAACCATTAATCATGCACTTGGTGCGGTGGCTTTGGTTGCTATCGCTCAGCGGAATTGATGAAACAAACAAAAGTAAGAAGGAAACTACGAATAGTATCAAGTCGATGAAGAAATTTCGTGAATACAAGAGTGCCACTGACCGCCACACCGCGCTGTTTCCTTCAACGTATCTAACCATTGAATGGGGGGATCTCTTGAACCCCATCCAAGGAGCGTAACACGCCCTACATGGCGAAGTCCACTGGTCAGGCTTTCCATACCTTTCTTCCATGTCACGGACAAACCATCCCTACTCATCTTCCGACCATTACTCACCCCAGCGAATATTGTACGCCAAGGGATTCTATCCGGGGACATGCACAACATGTTCGTGAGCCCAATGCTCCGCGCCTAATCTCAGCATTGTCTATACGTTATTCCCACCAGCTTCTAGCAACACTACGAAGACACGGTGCTGGAGCACCGAAAATCTTCGTATATCACTGCTTATCACATTTTTCTGTCTATGCCTTTCGGCAGCTGCAGAACTAGTCAGTATGACACCACTCGGTCTGTCGTCAGTGGGATAAAATTCTGATGAGTTTGACGCAACCGTCCAATAATTAGAGTCTTTACTGACCTGACGTTCCTCAAAACTTCTTCACTCATGTGTCGTCATTGCGCATTCTTACCCCCGAAATTTCCCGAAATTCACTGCAAAATATACGGCAATACAAGTTCCTAATTAAAACACAAGTTATTAATGGCACAAAATAAACAAGTTAGTTCATGTTCGCGTTTTCGTCCAAACAGTCTGTCGAAAGCAATACTGGTCGTTCTTCAGCCGGTGGTGGTCCATTGATGTAAGCTTCTGATACCTCCGGGATACGAGTTTCGTTGGTGTTAGACAGCAAGCCATTGTCTGGTTCCGTAATGCGCCTAACGTTTACTTTATAACATGCTTGCGCTTGAGTGTAGTGGGAAGGGTAGGCGTCATATCATCGAAGTCCCAGTGTAGTATTGGGGATAACCAGTAACCTGTCCCGGATATTTCGAGTGGAGTTTCTCCACTACAATTCTCAGGGTCATGACTGAACTCCCCCATAACAATGTAGTGGTATAAGTTTCTTCCATATCATTCATGCAAGCTCACCGAATGAAAATAAATTGACATCAAAACTGATTCACTTCTGGGAACGATAGGACTGTTTGCTTCCTGCAGTACACACATCACGACGAGACTGGACCTTGGCGCAGTGTGATGGCTTGCGTGCTTGCGTGGCGCAAACACTATTCGGGATAGCTTCCCTAAGCCGAAGGTACAACCATGCCTGACAAATCAGTAGGCAGAAGTCAGACAAAGTCCAGTCTCTGGACCAGTTGACAGGCAACATCTAATTCTAACCACTACACCCCTGAAGGTGACAATCCAGCGAATAAACGAGGCCAGAAACAGTTTACTGGCCTTAAAACTTCCAATAGATGGACATAGTAGTGGAGCACTTGGGGTTTCTCTTGACGTGGGATATGTCATTGCACTTCATTGGGCAGCTATCACTCGCCCAAGATGAAATGCTCCCGACCCAAAGGATGCCGTCCCGTTTACGTTCCGCTTGCTCCATTGGACGGATGGGGCTAATGACTGAATGCGAAAAGTAGCTCGATAACGGAGCACCAGTGATGAAAAGGCAGGATTCATGAAACAGTTGGGCCTCACGTGACAGACCAGAAGAAGCTCGTTAACGAGTTCCTCGGTCACGTTTTCGTGATTGGTTAACGTGCCACTGCCTTATGAGTTAGACTTTTGAGTCAAAGACTTTGACTAGGGTTCCCTAAAAAAATGTTTTCTGTGATGTGGGCCGCCACCAAGTCTGATGTGCCCAGAAATCGCCAGCGGTCACTCGGAAAACATTTCTTATCCCTCTGCTCTTCATCTCTCACGTCCCAATTCTAAGTGGATGCACAGAGCCAAAATGAGTCGTGTCGGATAACTTGTAGCTCTGCTCAAGAGGCTATAACTTGGAGACAGGAGGAGATAGAGAATTGATTCTCAGACCTAGGCATCCTTATCACTTTGCTGCTTCGGACGGCCACACACTTTGCAAACGGGGCAACAAGCTGCCCTAGCTAGAACTCGTGAAACCCCTAACATTGATGTGTGTTGTGTCTCCGAAATACGCATACGAGACCCCACTTTAGTGTTAACATTTCGCTCCCCAGATACAAACTCAGCTTCTCGTTTCACTGTTCGCGTGTCCGATGATCTGGTGTATAGCGCTCGTGGTCAGGCTGGCGTTGGCATAGTTCTGAGCACGAAAGCTGAGTGCGCACTGCTCGATTGGATCCCAGTCAGCAGTTGCCTGTGGGCGATTCGCTTGAACGGTTCTGTGCATGTCAACAACACTAAACTAAAACGTAGATGCCTGTTTGTCTTTTCTGTGCACGCTCTAACCGACTGCAGCTCTCATGATGCTGAAGACTCATTCTATCACGATTTGTCTCAACTGCTCCGCAGCGTGCGCTCTACGTTTATCATGGTTGTTGGTGGCGCTTTCAAAGCTCAAGTTGGGAGCTTAGACGAGACGGAGAAAAATATGGGAGGCTGATTTGGCGTTCTAGCCGATCGAAGCGATAACAGTGATCGACTTACCCAACCACGTTCCGACTAGGACTTTTCCTAGCGCGCGAATATTGTTTGCATTCGTGCACTGGTTTTTTCGTAGCGTTGCTCGAATCTGGTGGGAACACCATGTGAGCGGGAAGTCTTAGGTTCAAGGATCAAATTATTAGATGAAACACTGAGGGTCACCAGACTAAGACGGTTGGAGCATGTGTTACACAGATCGCCTTACAGGATCCCCCGACGTGCTGAGTCGGGTAATGGTTGGAAGATGAGTGAGAGTGGTCTTTCCCTGACATGGAAGAAAAATATGAAAAGGTTGACTAGTAGACTTGGCCATTTAGGGCTTGTTAGACTTCGTGAATGGGGTTCTAGAGGCCCTCTCATTCAGTGGTTAGATACGTTGGGGGATATGGCTAGGTGTCGTGATCAGTGACGCTTCTATTTTCACAGATTATCCTTCTCGACTTGATACCGGTGTTTGTAGTTCTTTTGTTACTCCTTTAATATTCCCTTCTTTTTTCTTTGTTTCCGGTTGAGGTTGCCGCTAAGAAATGACAAACGAAGCCACCATACCCAGTGCATGGTAATTGTTGTCCGAACTGAACTGAACGCACTTGTGATCCTAAAGTGCAGTGTCAAAAGCGGAAAACAACTCTCCATCCTAAACGAGATCCTTCGCAGTTAGTATAGATTAAATCGAGTTGCAGTATGGTGTATAACCTTATACTACTCAACGTCCATTCTGGTCACTCTTTGGACCACGATTTTGACTCAGGTTCGTCGTTGATTGCGACACAAAAAATGTACTCTACTGGTAATGTGCAAGGTTCACATTGTTTCGTTTCTTTGCCTAATGTTAAACAAAGATACGTACTTTCAGAGTCCTTCCCTATCTTTGAATATTTCAGACGCCGCATTCTCTTTGACCAGTTTCACAGTCTGCGATATCCTTCTGGCTACATCCCACGGGACGATTTGACGCGTAAAAGTGAACCATTGGATTGGTAAGTGCTGTCGTGATCTGTACTTCTGGTTTAGAATGTAGTTGTGCTGGTTGTATATCAGTTCGTTCCCTACGATATCCCACTCAGTCTTGAATTGCAGGGAATTTAGATAATTCTTGATTTCTCCAAGGAATGTCTTTTAGTCGTGTTCGTGATAAGATGCTAGCATCGAAACGTAGTCTTCCTAACCTGCATGAATTCTGTACGAAACATGCGACGTCTGATAACGTTGAGCTCAACTCTGGTTCTAGGATATAATGGTGCCCAAGTGCTTCACACTGAATCAAAAAGCTGATGTCTCCGTCGTGTTTTCACCTGAGAAAACTCTCGCTACTCAATAAAATTGGTATTTTTCAGTCTAGTTCGAAGCGTTCAAAAGATTATGGCTCAGCAGGAAGTCGTATTTCGCCCCTGAAGCGAATGTGATTCAGGCCTAAACATAGAAATCCCATGTATCGGTTTTATTCTATCTCCTGCTTTCATTCGCACCTCAGGGTCATGAAGAACCTCACTATCCAGTTTTATTTAGCTCACCGTGTTTCCTTTAATAACTAATTTAGTATTCAAGTGTCTCGCGCTTTAATTTTTCTGAACATCGATAATTCAGAGAGAAACCCCTCAGAGATCCATAGAGCTAACCGTCGTTCTCAATGGCATTGTTGTAGACTAACTTTTCATGGCAGAAAACCGCTAGGACGAAGTGTACAGCTAATTTCCCCGGAGGCAAACACGACCGGTTTCGCGGTTGTTGCCGCTCATCAGGTGTGCGTACCCGGTACTCCTCTGCCTATATATATATATATATATATATATATATATATATATATATATATATATATATATATATATATATATATATATATATATATATATATATTGTCTGAGAAATCCCACAGAACATATTGAGAATAAACAACGTGGCGAACAAGCTCGTTTTCAGTTATTCGTACTCATACCAATACATAACAATATATATGACTCACAAAATAAGAACGGAGAATGACAATCCGAATCTGTCTCTGCAAGTGCGTTTGTGCATGTGAAATTGATCACAGTGTGAAATGTTCAAGTGGTTGCACATGTGCTCAGGACCATGACATGGGCCACGGAAGCTCAAATGCTTGCACAAATTGTTCCTGAGCGCACAGGGAGGATTGTAGAGACGAATACTCACGGCTTCGGCCGTGGCTAAGATGCGACACTTGACAAGTATTGATTGCTTTCCTCGGACTTTGTAAATGGTGCGGAAAGCGTTTATCACCTCCACCGAGTGGTTTGATTCAACAAGGTGAGAGAACACCGCACTCGTAATTGTCTTAATTGCTCCCATGTTCAGCCAGACCGTATGGTGTTCTCGAACGCGTTCGGATAAGCGCCGAATCGTGCGACCAATGTACCTAGTTCCATAGGAACAGGTGAGTGAATACACACAAAACGAGGTTGCGGAATTCGGCACTATGTGCAAGCACTTCAGCTTCCGTGGCCCATGTCATGGTCCTGAGCACATGTGCAACCACTTGAACATTTCACACTGTGATCAATTTCACATGCACACACTCACTTGCAGAGACAGATTCGGATTGTCATTCTCCGTTCTTATTTTGTGAGTCATATATATTGTTATGTATTGGTATGAGTACGAATAACTGAAAACGAGCTTGTTCGCCACGTTGTTTATTCTCAATATGTTCTGTGGGATTTCTCAGACAATATATATATATATATATATATATATATATATATATATATATATATATATATATATATATATATATATATATATATATAAGCCATACAGTCCTTGTTTCTTTCAACCCTTTTGCGAGTGAAAAAGTCACCTAATTACGACGGCCATTGAGGTGAGGTCATCAACAATCAGTTTGTGAAAAAATTCTGCACTGCGGGTTACACTCGGTGGTTTAAAGGATAGAGTCTCACCCTCGAGCGAAAAGCTGACTCAAGGTCACGTCAACTCCATGGTGGGCGACCAAATCACCCCACACTGCACAGCACACATGCTCATCTAATTCGGACTTTTACACTCACATTTTGTTCAACTTCTAACAGTGTTGCAAGAATAATCTATAATCATACAGAGGATTGTTTTTACCAACCTCCTTCATCTTCTTGTCATTTTTCTTTTTCTTGTCAATAATACTAGAATTCGTTTCTCAGGAAGAGGTAAATACTACATTAATATTCACTTCACCGGAGATATAGGATGAGGCTCTGCTTAGTACTCAATGCCCACGTTCAAGTGCGAAGATCGGTGGTAATTAGACCGCGGACATGCTTGGCTCATCTGTTTGAAACCCACTGTCACCGATGTGTTTCCTCCAGGATACGATCTAAATTCTGATTTAGGTTTTTTGAAATCTCTTCTAGACATGCACCTGCGGACCCTGTGGCTACAATTTCTCTTGTTGCTAAATCAGACAGTTTGATATGCCAAGTAAAGCCTGCAGGTTCGTACAAAACGAGCAGTCGCCGTCTCAGAAAGCACAGTCTGTTCGGTATTGCTACATACGTACTCACATACTGCAGCCAAGACGCCACGATAGTCTGCGTCTGTCACATACACGGAAGGTACCAAGCGTGAACCTTAAGAGCCGCAACAAATGAAAGTGATTAAGATTGGTGCGCGTCGCTTGTGAATACATTATTTTGGTCTGTCTGATCTAGGTCGTTGTGAAAAAAACACACAAATGAAACGAAAAAGCAAAAAACGAATGAAGCCGAACAGGGATTAGTACGATCAAGTTCTATTTTCCTTGTAAGTAGCCAAGGTAATGCATCCACACTGTCTGTAGGGAGTCATTTTCACGAACAGTTTGTGTTCAAGTCTATGAATGCTGGGATTACTGTCTGATGTTTCCTGTCACCAGTAACGTCCATGGGACTTACATGCTTCACGTTTGTGTGTCCGGAGATGGACCTCAGATAAACGGGTTGTCTGTGTTCTTTGTGCATCTTTCGATCACGGTGGTGGAAGAGAGTCATTGAAAAAGTAATGAAAGGTTAAGTGATTCACCCAAGTGGGAATGCATTAATCTGTATATTCAGAAGCTGTTATCATTGCTTGATCATTTAGCTCTGCAGGACGTATGGGCTCTCAGTAAATACCTGATTTTCCCTGTGATGTGTCTTTATTCCGTATAGGCTTGGTGACCACATGCACACAAATCTACGGGATCTTTATACTCACTTACGTAAAGGGAATTATTTCGTGGAAATCCTCACGTCTCCGTACACGTGTTTTGACGCAAACCAGTATGGTATGTTGAAATAACAAAAATCCGCAACTTGTCCATCGTACCCCCACCCTTTCATCAATCCATCCAAACACTAATTCCATCAGTGGCTTACATTCGTTGCATGGACGATAATGGTCGTAGTTGAATGGTCATCATTATCATACTGTTAAGCTTGTGGTAGTCCTGCCGCCGGCACCGGTCACTTCGTTGGCCTTCAAATGGTCGCTAGCACCTTTCTGAAGTATTGGAAACAATCTGTGTGATAAATATGGCGAGACATAATAATAATGATAATAATAATAATAATAATAACAATAATATTAATAATAATAATAAAAAAAATAATAACAATAATAATAATAATAATAAACTCAGATGGACTCGCGCTGTCTTGCTTCATTTTTTGAGTGATGGTTGTTCAATTTTATTTTCCGTTTACCGGAGGTAAGGAGAATCGTTTTTCGTATGAAAGTGTTCTGTTCCTCAAGTCAGAATAACGTTTAGACAAACGTGTTTTATTAAACAGGACAAAGTCACAAATTTAGAGATAGAAGCTTTATACTTATATTTTGTCCATTGAGAAAGTTAAACATGCCACTTCAATAATGATACCATTAGAAAATAACTATTGAAAGCTAATTTGGATCGATGGACTTCACAGAGCATTTTGTTAGGTCGCTCCCATCGTAAACGACGAGCACCGCTTCGCTTTCATCTTGCGGTGTGTTTTATTGCTGTTGTCATGAGTTGGATAAAGGGGACCCACAGCTTTAAGGATATTTCAAGTGAATTCCCTCCCGAGCTGGTGACACAACAAAGTGTGTATGTGGCAAACCTCCAAATGCCTCGGTGTAGTCGGGGTTGGGTGTCTCAAACTCCGAGATGGCAGGTCGTCCTAAACGTCTCTCGAAATGCCGCCAAGTGACCGTGCATCTAACACAGCCTCTGTTGAGGCAGTCCTACTCATTGTCTTATCGTGGCGGAGCTGTTCCCACTAAAGTGGGTGGACGAAAACGAATGCCTGCCGCTCTCCACCGGGTTGACTGACTTATAGTTAGTTTAGGGGAGATGGCTTAACCCTGATTCCAAACCAACCATGGGTGGCGTTTGAGACGTACAACAGTATGCCCACCGGCATCTGTGACGGAGAGGCGCACTGGGCACCCGGGATGTTTGGTCTCATCCGAGGGGACGTATGAACTGAACCATCAGTCACCGGCTTCCAGTGGAATGCGGGTCCCACTCTTCGTCCCGCTGCCTTGCAGGTTAATCTTTGGATAGCTAAAGGCTCCAGTCGTGGATCCCTAAGAGAACCACCTGCTTTGACTTGGACAACCTGGCAGTATTGGGCCCACAAACGAATCATGGACTCAGACCGTATATTCCTTCCTTTTCAATTGTGCCATGTTTTGTTTGGCACAGTCTAATATCAAGCAGGGGTGGAAAATATGTATACCATGGACAGTCTATACTGTTCCACCCACCGAAGAACTCGATCGCGCGGTCCATTTCCTGAGGCGTAATTAAGCCCCTCGGCCCTAACGAACCCCCTACCGGCTCTCTTCGAAGATGGTGGTATGCCCCTCTCCAAAATGTGGCCAACCGATCGTCTTTTGCGAGCAATTTAACAGTGGGTGAACGACAAAGCAGGCGCTTGGGTGTCACATTTGTGCCCTGAATTTGACACAGCCAGTGTTCAAATTATTTACCCAATAATTGGTTTGCACCTTCACTGAGTTAACACGTGATTTTATCTCTGTGCTGCTGATGCTGCTGGTTTTATCTCTGTTCACGGCGTACAGTTATTTTACACTATCGCTTATTTTGTTCCCACCTCATTATCCACTGGGTTACTAGAATAATTTCGATTTGATCTTTCTCTTGTTTTTTCACCTCACCTAATTTTGATGTACTCCTCTTCAATGAAATTGATCGATTTCACACTTGTTTCCTGTTTCAGGTGCTTTATTAGTGATCGATCCGGAAGAGGAATTCTTTCCCAAAGAAGTAGAAAAACTAGTTTCTGATGTGACACAAAAGGGTCTCTCTCTGATTGTATTTGCCGAGTGGTACAATACCAGCTTGATCGAAGCCTTACAGTTCTACGATACCAATACCAAGTGAGCGGTGTTTATCTTGTCTTCTCTAAATGAATGTTAGCACTCTTTTGTTATAATGTGTTTCTGTTTGCGCATTCATAGCAATTTGAAACATGCGTGTAGCTTCGTGTTTTGCAGTTTCTCCAATAAATTTATTGTCTCCCTTTCCAACTAATCGTCAGCTGTTTCCCCGTTATTCCTGTGAATTCATTGGAGAATAGAAACCGAACATATTTTTTATTTTTTGCCAACGTATTCATCAATTCTCTGGTCTTCAATTTATCGATCTTTTCATCTGTAGATTAGCAAGGTCCACAAGTCTTATTTCTGGCTGGACGATATTCCTTCGCCTGTGCATTTCATTGTAGATTGTTCAGTCTTCTAGTCTTATGTTTAATTTTTGAATCGTTAACCATGGGTTCTTTAACATAAATTGTATCATTGACTCTGTAACTCTCCCTAGTGCTTTGGTTGTATCCCAATTGATGCACCGAATTGGATTATCTCCACTGATACACAATCGGCCTCCAATAATCAGGAGTTACCGTTTGGGAAAATAATTTGATTTGTACACTGTTCAGAACTGAGTTTACTTGAAACTAGTTAGCTGAGAACTACAACTTTCTGATGGGTTTCTGTCCAGCTGAAATTCTTTTGTTCATTTTTCTGCTTCGGTTCTGTGTCTAGCTGGTTTCATTGTGTCATGTTGCTTCAGAGGGTTTTACGACAATAAAATCACGAATTTTTCACAGTTTTGAAGCTGTTACATTGTCTTCTACCTTCTGGTTCACGTGTGTTTGAATAACGATTTTTCCCTTTAACGCTTGGTGCCCCAAGGCCTTCTTGAATAATATCGGGTAAACTTTTTCGCAACAGCCGATGATGGGTCAAACGACGGAGGGTTAATATAAAGTAATTATAAATATCCCGTAATGGCACATTAAAAAGATGTAAGCGGAAAATCCAATCCAGACCAAGAAGATCGAGGTGTGTGTGCGAAATATAACACAATCCTTCACCACTGACACCTGGGAATGTCATTATCCACCTGAAATAAACTACAAATTTCACAGACCCACCCCAAGCACCATTGGCTGAGTTTACCGTCTTTTCAAATAAAGGGTGACCAGCACAGTGTCATGGTCGCCCGGAGACGATTGTAATTTCTGAAGCCGTGTCTAATTGAAGTCGGACAGGATAACCGCTCATTCTCACAATAAATGAACTGCCGAGGAACCACATATTCTGTTTCAAAGCGGATCATGAGGCTTCCTGAATGACAAATTGATTTAGTGCATGAAGGGCGGCGTTGATGAAATGATGACTCAGGTCGACTGACATCGGTGTGATTCTCACGCCAGTGTTCATCTCTATGACCAGCCCTTGTACACCGTGAGCAACGATGTCGAAGAAAAGCACAAGACTTTAGGGCCACTGTCACTGCGAGATGATGATGGTCGCTAACATGATGATGGTTTCTGACTCGAAGCAACTGCATAAGCAACCTGCGAGGGGCAATCCTGTTGTTGAATCATAGCTGAGTCATACTTCAAACTGGCAATGCGCTCGCACTCGAAAATCATTTCTTGAGGGTTAATTTGAGGTTCTTGGTCGATGTTGGCTAGTAGACGGGTTCTGACGTCCTCTTACAGTGTTGCTTGATTGCCAAAGATGAAAACAAGGCATCGAAATTTATCTTCTATGAGAAACCCCAAAAAGTACCGTTCACATTATCTGTTCACATAAACTGGCGCATGTCACAAAGTCATCGGAGTCTTTCTTTATCACCTTGGGATATTTGAATTGGACATTGAATGAAAAAGCAGTTTGCCCATGGATTTCCTCCAGAGTCAGTACCGTATCGCCAAAAATGGAGATGGTGACTGAGCAAGAAACATGTTGTCAGTATATCTGGCGTGCTCAGCAGGGCCTAACCTCCGCAGTAATAAACGAGCTTGGATTTTGCCATCCTAGGCTGAAAGCGGTACAGTGAAAATATCTTTATTGTGTTTGTACCGTGACTCAAATGTGACTCCTGACTCCGCATCATGATGAAAATCAGGAACGTTTCGTACAATGTGATCAGTAGTGCGCGAATCAACAGTTTTGTATGGTTGCATATTCACCAGCCTTGTAGAGATGAGGTAAATCAAGCGCATATTTTTCGGATCAGTTTCCGTTGAATCCATTTTCGCCATGTGTCAATGACTTCATCGCCGAATATGTTGCGTCCTTTACAAAAATCTCCGAATGTTGCAATATTTTATTGAATCAAACGGGTGTCAGACGCTAGAGTATCACCTGCAGGAGTACTAGCTCAACGACTCCTCTTTAGATCGTGATAAGTGAAAGATTATAGGAATGCAATAGTCAACGCCAGACTACCCACCAGCTTGAATGAGAACACAGGTTTTGGTGCCGACGAACAGAGTATTATCGTTTCATTGGGCACTCAAGTCGTGTCGTTTGAGGAGCACTGAACTCGGCTGCTTATATAGGTTCTGCTAGAGTGGAATAGGCTGACTTTGGAAATCGACCGGCAGCTGGGGTAGTCACTCAGACGAAGGAAAGCAACATGTATGTTACCCATGTACGATTTCTCCGACAATCTCAGAGGAACTCCAGTCATTGTGCCTATACACAGATACGACGAACAAACATCAAAACGTTAGTCTGGTACTGTTGTCACGAACAGAACTGTCCAACGGAACTGCACACAAACGACTGATGGCTAGAATCTAGTCTAGCAGCTCTCGTACGCAAAGAGAGCCCGATGCCAACTTGACCACAAGTACTAGATACCGGATTAACCGACACGCGAAGAGTGGAGCAAGAGACCGGTTGCATCCGGGATGCGGAGAGTGATCGCTGAAGTGGGGTCTTGTATACGTGTTTCTGAGACACAGCACACGTCGATTATGAAAGTTTCAAGAGTTCTAACGAGAGCAGCCAGTCGCCCTAGTGTGCGGACGTTGAGGACAATCAAGTGAGGAGGACATGTAAGCATGAGAAATGTGTATGAATTATGTCATTCTCCTGAATTTCACTTTCTTCGGAGCCACTATAATCCGTGGCGTGGTACATCGACCTTATATTAAGTGTGATAGAGGAGAAGCTAGTAAGGATGATGGAGGTTCCTGGTCGAATCGTGTTTCGCGGGTGCCTATACCGCAGAGAACGTTTTTCTTAGAGAACCCTAGTCGAAGTCTTTGACTCCAAAATCTAACTCATAAGGCAGTGGCACGTTAACCAATCACGAAATCGTGACCGAGGAACTCGTTAACGAACTTCTTCTGGTCTGTCACGTGAAGCCCAACTGTTTCATGAATCCTGCCTTTTCTTCACTGGTGCTCCGTTATCGAGCTACTTTTCGCATTCAGTCATTAGCCCCATCCGTCCAATGGAGCAAGCGGAACGTAAACGGGACGGCATCCTTTGGGTCGGGAGCATTTCGTCTTGGGCTTACTTACTTTTATTTTTATGCGACTATCTCCTGCGAGAGGATAAGTCGGCTCCATGGATATCACGGACCATTGCTGACCACGCGCGGCGGTCGGAGACGAGCTCCGTACAGATCCTGATTCAGTCCTTTTTCCATCGCCAGGCTTCATGAACAGACCGAAGGTCTAGAAGCTCTACGTCTTTCTCTGTTGTACTAATCCACGTTTTGAGCTGCCCACCAAGGCGACAACGCCAACCAGGGCAGGGGGTGAGGCAGAGTGTTTGCTTGGTTATCTCTGACTCGAGTTGCCGAGCGTATGGCCGAACCACTGCAGTCGTCGACGTTGGAGGAGGACTGAGTGCGCATCGATATAAGAGCATCGCCTCCTTACCTCGTCGTTAGACACCCTGTCGCGCCACTTGACTTTGAGGATTTGCCGCATGCATCAGTGGTCGAAAACCTCCAGCCTGCTGGTATCCTTAGCTCGTAATGGCCAGGTTTCGCAGCCAGCCGGGCCGGATGGCGGCACGGTAAACACGAACTTTGGTTCGTAAGCTGATTTCACTGCGAGTCCGCAGCGTTCGCCTTAGCTGGAGGAAGGCTCTCCTGGCGCTTTCCACCGGTAATACGACTTCATCTTTTGCCTGGCCGTTCGGTAGCAGAGTTGAGCGTAGATGTTTGAATGGAGAGACGTATTCGACTGGTTGGTCATTGATCGACAGTTGTTGAACTCTCGGGTCTAGATGGGTTGCAAAAGCTTTCGTTTTTGGTCGAATTTACTTCAAGTCCTATGGACCTCGCGAGGGAATTGATTCGGTCGAGGATTGGTTGTAGCGCAGCGGGGGAGTCTCCTAGCACGTCAATATCATCCGCGAACTCCACGTCCGAGATGTATATTTCCTGGCTGAGCTGAATGCCAGGGTAGTTGTTTAATGCTTGTCGCACTGTCCAATCAGTGGCGTAGTTGAACAGCACCGGTGAGAGAGGACAGCCCTGTCTAACTCCGGTAGTGAGTGTGAACTCGCAGGTTTCTTGGCCGTACGTGGGAACCCTTGCACCAATTGTCGAGTAGCTTCCTTTTAACAGCCTCAAAAGCTTATCGGGCATCCCATCGGATTGGACAAGGGTCCAAAGAGACTCGCGGTTCACCGAATCAAAGGCTCTCCGGAAGTCGATGAAGCAAGCTACCGTTGGCTGCTGGGACTTATAGCAGTGCTTCAGTATTCGGTGCAGTGTGGAGATTTGAACCACACAGCCTCTGCTACGGCGGAAACTCCCTTGGTTCGGGCGAGTGCGCTGGTCTCTTGCCTTGGAGAAACGGGTTATCAACAACGCAGCAAAAATTTTTGTGGCCACATCGATCAGGCTGATCCCTCGGTAATTCTCACATGCCGATTTATCACCTTTCTTTGGAATGGGCAGCAGAATGAACATTCCCCAGTCGGGCATAAATGCTTCCTCTCGCCAAATGGAGCCAAAAAGTGTACACAGCCTGTCAATCAGTGACAATGAACATGCTTTATACACTTCCGGAGGGATGCCATCTTCCCCAGCAGCCTTTCTGTCCTTCAGTTTGTTT